ACTATTTGTTTCAGATGCATATTATATCATCTGAATACTATCTGTAATAATAAAAGCGTAATATGCTCATTAGACCAGATGTCCTTCTGGACATCCTTCCGGACGACCTTCCTGATGAAGCCAGGGCTGTGAGGGAAGCCTGGGTCCCAGGTACCAGAGGGAAGCCAGTGCCCGCAGCCAGGGGAAGGAAGGCCTACTCTTGCACGAATTTTGTGCATTGGGTCTCTAGTTATATATATGATGGCTGTTTGCAGCTGGTCACACCCCCTTCAGGGTGGGGGTCCCCACTGGGGTGCCTGGCCAGCCTGGATGAGGGGATGATGGCTGTTTGCAGCTGGTCACACCCCCTTCAGGGTGGGGGTCCCCACTGGGGTGCCTGGCCAGCCTGGATGAGGGGATGATGGCTGTTTGCAGCTGGTCACACCCCCTTCAGGGTGGGGGTCCCCACTGGGGTGCCTGGCCAGCCTGGATGAGGGGATGATGGCTGTTTGCAGCTGGTCACACCCCCTTCAGGGTGGGGGTCCCCACTGGGGTGCCTGGCCAGCCTGGATGAGGGGATGATGGCTGTTTGCAGCTGGTCACACCCCCTTCAGGGTGGGGGTCCCCACTGGGGTGCCTGGCCAGCCTGGATGAGGGGATGATGGCTGTTTGCAGCTGGTCACACCCCCTTCAGGGTGGGGGTCCCCACTGGGGTGCCTGGCCAGCCTGGATGAGGGGATGATGGCTGTTTGCAGCTGGTCACACCCCCTTCAGGGTGGGGGTCCCCACTGGGGTGCCTGGCCAGCCTGGATGAGGGGATGATGGCTGTTTGCAGCTGGTCACACCCCCTTCAGGGTGGGGGTCCCCACTGGGGTGCCTGGCCAGCCTGGATGAGGGGATGATGGCTGTTTGCAGCTGGTCACACCCCCTTCAGGGTGGGGGTCCCCACTGGGGTGCCTGGCCAGCCTGGATGAGGGGATGATGGCTGTTTGCAGCTGGTCACACCCCCTTCAGGGTGGGGGTCCCCACTGGGGTGCCTGGCCAGCCTGGATGAGGGGATGATGGCTGTTTGCAGCTGGTCACACCCCCTTCAGGGTGGGGGTCCCCACTGGGGTGCCTGGCCAGCCTGGATGAGGGGATGATGGCTGTTTGCAGCTGGTCACACCCCCTTCAGGGTGGGGGTCCCCACTGGGGTGCCTGGCCAGCCTGGATGAGGGGATGATGGCTGTTTGCAGCTGGTCACACCCCCTTCAGGGTGGGGGTCCCCACTGGGGTGCCTGGCCAGCCTGGATGAGGGGATGATGGCTGTTTGCAGCTGGTCACACACCCTTCAGGGTGGGGGTCCCCACTGGGGTGCCTGGCCAGTCTGGGTGAGGGGCTGAGGGCTGCTTTCAGGCTGGCGGTTGTTGACTGAAGCTCCCAACCGCTCCTTTTTTTTCTCTTTTTTTTATTTTATTCTGGGCCAGCTTTAGCTCTGGCTCTAGCTCTGAGGCTTCCGCTGCTGAAAGCTGGTATCTGGTTTGTTTGCCGTTCTATAATCGAAACAATGTATAACTTCAGCTCTGAGATCCCGGCAGGCTGAAAGTGTTACAAAGTTTCAAACTGCCAGCTCAGAGGCCAGCAGCGCAGGCAGGGAACGTTGGCTTCCTCCTTCAATGAAGGAAGCAAGCCTCATGTTCGCTTCCAGCTGCCTGGCTGCCGGCCGCCATCTTGGCTGACAGTTAATTTGCATAAGGATATGCTGATTAGCCAATGGGAAGGGTAGCGGTTGTATGCCAATTACCATGTTTCTCTTTTATTAGTGTAGATAATTTTGTAACATCCTAACCTTATTATTTCTATTTTTTATTTTTATGTTAATCCGCACCCGAGGATATTTTTTCCATTGATTTTAGAGAGAGTGGAAGGGTAAGGGAAGAGGGAGAGAGAAACATTGGTGTGAGAGAGACACAGGGATTGGTTGCCTCCCAGACATGCCCCAACCAGGGCTGGGGGTCAATTCTGTAACCAGGTACATGCTCTTGACCGGGAATGGAACCAAGACCCTTCTGTGCTCGGGCCCACACTCTAACCACTAAGCCACACTGGCCAGAGCTCTAGTACTTTTTAAGTCCACTTACATTACCCTTGTGCTCACACCTCCTGGCACATATTTGCCGGCTTTAATTTGCATATGTGTGATGATCATCGGGGTTAATACCTTTCATAAGTACATTTACCATTCCTGTTACATCTTCTGTAAAAGGCCTGTTCACGCCGCTCACCTGTTTCTCTTCAGGGTTGTTTGTCTCTTTCTTTTTGGCATGCATCATTTCCTCATATTGGTATTCTAATTATTTGTCCATTTTATTATTGCCAATATTTTCCTTTTATAGCTTGTCTTTTCACTCTCATTTTGATATACTTTCATAGGAAAAGGTGGTGATTTCTGTGAAATCAAATTTATTTGCATTTTGGGTGTCTTTTTAAAGACTTCCTTCCTGTCCTGATGACATAAAGACACTGGCTTACTCTCCCTTCTAACATTTTTGTGGTTTATCTTTCACATTGACATCCTGAAGCCCTGAGCCGGCCGTGGGGAAGGTGTGAGGCGTCCTCACAATTGCTTTTCTTGGAAACAGCAGTCTTCCCAGCCCTTCGTGGAGGGGCCCCCTTTTCCCGTCGATCCTCAGTGCTGCCTGTCGCGGCTCCTCGGCGTCCGGTTTGGTTTCAGACCTGGGTTACGCTCCACTGCTCCTGGGTCTGTCTCTGAAACAGAAACACATTCTCAGTGACAACAGCGCCGTGGTGGGCGGGACAGGCATTCACACAGGCACGCTGTCTCCTGTACCCGGCGTGTGCAGTGGGACCGCTCGCCCCCACGTGTTCATAGGGACTGTCTTGCTGTCTTCAGCACTTTTCACACACGTGTGTGTGTGCACATACACACATGTACATAAACACACAGAGTTTAAAACAAGTTGGTTCACTCATTTTAAAGGCACTTTGGGGAAATTGGTTGTAATTGCATTAAATGTATACATCAGTTCAGGGAGAATTTATAAACTTCAGTCACTGACATTTCCAATACATATCGTAGTTGCAAATTTATTTACTTTTTCAAAACATGTCTTTCACTAAAGTTTTATGATTTTCTTTATAAATTTCTTGCAAATATTT